ATTATAAAGAGACTAATCAGAGCTTTAGATCACATTCATACACCGATGGGACACACATCAGAGGCAGTGAGGGGTTCAGTGTCTTGCCCATGGACAGTTTGGCATGTAACTGCTGGTGGGTTCGAACCCCCAACTCTTGCATCAGTACAGTTCATTTCCCATTTATGTGCAGTATACATCATGTGAATTTAAGCTTTTATTACTACATTGAAATACTTATTCAAACAAATTCATCCTACTTGCACCATTACCTTGCTACTTCAGTGGGACCAAGAGACACAAAGAGCTACTTGTTCGAGCCAAACAAATGTGCACGGCTCACCTTTAATTATAGTATTAATAATAATACATTTACACACATGTGAATACATGACACCTGATCACATCTGATCTGATCTGTATTATTAAAGACTCCACACAATGATTATCAGTAAGGATTTAGCATGGTGAATGTGATCAATTATTATTGATAATTAGTGATTAGAACTCTCAATAGAGAACGAGTCACCAGTTTGAATCCTTTTTGGTTCTTCTGTGTGACTGTAAATTGTTTCTAGCTGTGACTGGGCGTGTGAATGGTTTTTAGTCTCTTTGTCTCTGTGATGGACTGGAGACCTGTCCTGGGTGTCTCTGTGATGGACTGGAGACCTGTCCTGGGTGTCTCTGTGATGGACTGGAGACCTGTCCTGTGTGTCTCTGTGATGGACTGGAGACCTGTCCTGGGTGTCTCTGTGATGGACTGGAGACCTGTCCTGGGTGTCTCTGTGATGGACTGGAGACCTGTCCTGTGTGTCTCTGTGATGGACTGGAGACCTGTCCTGGGTGTCTCTGTGATGGACTGGAGACCTGTCCTGGGTGTCTCTGTGATGGACTGGAGACCTGTCCTGTGTGTCTCTGTGATGGACTGGAGACCTGTCCTGGGTGTCTCTGTGATGGACTGGAGACCTGTCCTGGGTGTCTCTGTGATGGACTGGAGACCTGTCCTGGGTGTCCCCTGCCTTCACCAAAAAGCAGCTGTGATTGGCTCCAGTCCTAAACAAACGGGACAAAACAGATGATTTGCTGCAGCAGGAAACTGATATTTAAACATAAATTAATAATTTCTTTTATGTTCATCTTAATGAATAACATTTGAAATTCAGTGTATTTTATAAACATTTTATGAACTGTTTTGTAGAAATGAACATGTTTGTAACATTCATTCAAAATCTGCCTTTTACTATTAACAACTTCTGTAACATTTTTAAGAACCTATTAAGAATAAAATCTTCCAGTCAAGCCCTGTTCGTACGAACTGTTTTGTTTATAACACTTCAGAAGAACTCTAACTTGTAGATACAAATTATCAGTAATGTAAAAAAACAATCTGACGTTTTTAAATGAATCATGTGACATTAGTATTGATCCTCAGACCTGCAGCATTTTTAATAATAATAATACTTTATTTATAAAGCCCTTTAAAATAACCACAGCTGCAAAAAAGTGCTGTACATGTAAAATCATTTTAACTAATCATTCTCTCTTTACTCTTTAAAAAAAAATATTTTTCACATATTTCATCATTGCTTCTTTCAAGAGCTCCACACCTGAAAATGCATTATGAAAAACATCTTCCAGCTCAAAGCTGCGTCTAACTCTGACGTTCTTCTGCCTGTTGTGAGCAACCAGGGGGCTAGTTAGCATTGAAGCTAACATGTTAGCTGGTGAAGTGTCACTCTGTCACCACAGCCACTAATGAGACACAGACACACTTGTCTTCTCAACTGTACAAAGACCTCTTCCTTCCAGTCACTGTGAACTCATGTTTTCTTACGTTTTTCTGTCATAAAACCTTGTGGAGGTAAAACTAGCTTGTAGCTGCACCGCTGCAGAGATGGGAGTGGTCTAAGCAAGATCTGAACTTTGACCCCAGATAAGATTGCTAAACTGTATACGTACAACTCTTTCTTTTTAAAATGTGTATTAATCATTTTCATTTCAAATATACATCCTTGCAAATGTTATTTCTTAAATTTAAAAATATAATTAATGCTGATTTTTAGGTGGTGCTCCTTGATGATGAGTACTATTTTTAGAACATGCCCCGTGGGCAACTCATGTGGTCCTTGCAGGCTACCAGGTGTGCGCGGGCACCGCGTTGGTGACCCCTGTTCTAGAAGCTGCTGGCTGTGGGCAGGAAGGAGCTCTTGTAGCAGTTACCGATAGTGATCCGTCCACTTAGACCCGGCAGGTCTCTCGATCTTCCTGGGCAGCGGGATCGCCGGGATGTTGGGCAGAACTCCTCCCTGAGTCATGGTCACTCCTCTCAGCAGCTTGTTGAGCTCCGCGTCGCTGAGGACAGCCAGCTGCAGGTGTCGGGGGATGATCCCTGTCCTCACGCTGTCACGAGCCACTTTTCTTGCCAGCTCCAAGATCTCGGCGGTTTTGTACTTGCGCACCGCCACCAAGTAGACGGGAATGCATCCAAGACACCTCCTTTTTAACTCATCTGGGATTTGGGGCTGCAGCCGAGGCATTATGTGAGCTTTTGAGATGTTAATCAGCTGCTCCTATTTTAAAAGCCACCTTGTTGTCATGGTTACGCATCATAATAAATGTCCAAAAGCAAGCTTTCAGCAGAAATCCTTCCAGCTGCACAGCATCCGACACAAGAGTAAATAATCATCACAAATAAATAAATAAAGCAATTTACATGCAGAAAAAGAGGAATGAAAGTTTTCAAAAGTAATATTTCAGAATAAATGTACCAGAGCTGCTCCAACATGAGCCACCTGGAGCGGAGCAGTTCTACAATCTGACTTTATAGTTCTGCTGACCTAAAACCTCCTCAAAATAAAATAATAATAATCTGGTCATTGTCCTCACAAGTTGTAGTTTCTCTTTAGCCTCAGCAGGAGCTGTAGGAGTTTCTGATGAGTCAGCATTCTTTCTGACGCCAGGTTGGATCAGAACAGGAACCTGGTGGTTTGTTCTGTCTTGTCATCCTTACGATGGGAACTCAGGTGTTCTGCCGGGACTTTCTCAGACTGAGTTTGCACAGAACCTGAGTCACCTGAAGACATTCAGCACCTTGTTGTGTTGCTGCCATCATGAGTGAATCGGATCCTGTTAGAACTTGGTCAAGATAAGATGGAGCAGACACCGTGTCAGAACTTTTGAATTTTGATGTCATCTCTGAAGTCTTAAAGAAACAGTTTGCCTAATGAGAAAATGGGTGATTTTACAGTTTGACAACGAGATGTGCTGCTGACTCAGCACAGACAACATTTTTTTGGTTGTTTTTAAAACATGTTTATTACAAATTTGTTGTTTCTAAAGCATTTAATGTTGCTAATATAAACCATTCAGCTGATTAAGCTGGTGAGCTCGGGCTGTTGGACATCAGGAAGAGCTTGTTGCTACAAATTAAGCTCTTCATGAAGATTTGCAGACACGAACAAATTAGTTTGGACTCTTGTTAAAGAAAAAAATAACAGAATAAATAAATAGCAGCGTTTCCCCTAGAACAGCTCCCTTGGCGGGGCGCTCATATTTTTTTGACAGGGGTGGGGGGTACAGGATGGAGTCTCTTCTGTGTTGCACACTAGCCTAGTGCTACGTTGCTGCTGATATTTGTCGATGGGGTGGTGGAGCAGAACGCTTTGTCAGTATCATCTTTGCTAGCGGGTTTGTATTGCACACCGCGCTACATCAATACCGACAGTTGTTGACGGGGGTGGGGTGAGGGGGCGGAGTCACGTCTGTGTTGCACACTAGCTTAGCGCTACGTTGCTGCTGGTGTTGGTCGATAGGGTGGGGTGGGTGGAGGTAGTGGAGCTCTTTGTCTGTAGCAATTTTGCCAACGCGTTTATATTGTGCACCACGCTACATCAGTACCGACAGCTGTCGACGCGTGGGAGTTCGGTAGGCAGGGCGCTCAGTTCTGTTGACAGGGCGGGGCACCCTGCCTATATAATGGTAGAGGAAACACTGAAATTGGTAATAAAGATATTGATAATCAATAAAAATTATAATTGCCTTTTGTTTCGTTCAACAAAATTATTTTTAAAATGAACGAATGAAAGTGACCTTGACTAAAAGGATGGTAACGTTTGACCACAGGGACAAGGTGTGTCCTGTAATCAACATCACCATCATCTTAAATATTTTAATCAGTCAGTCTCCCTGTTGACAGGTGGCAGGTAGTCACAGGGCTGTTGGGTATCATGGTGTGTACCACACTGAACATGGAGCACAGGAAGCTAAGGACAGAGTGTCTCAGGAGCTTAAAAAGAACATTACTGACTAACATGTTAAAGGTAGAGGCTGCCAGATCATCTCCATTAGCTTGATGTTCCTCAGACTACAGCTGCACAGATGATTCAGAAGGTCCATAGGACTGGATACAACCTGGATGTGTCCACAAGAGGACAGCTGAAGATAAAATGGATTAATAGACACCATTGTAACCAAAGACAGAACAACTTCCAAAGATATGAAGCGGCGCGCTCCAAGGTCAAAGGCCATCACTCAGAACACATTATGGGTTACTGCTCGAATCAACGTGGACCTAATGGAATATAACCGTGGAGGACATTAAAATAAGAAGAAGCAAAACTGAATTTTGTCAAAACGTGTATTGACAAGCCACAAAGCTTCAGTGAGAATGTCCTTTGGACAAATGAGACAAAACTTGAAATCTTTGGTAACAAGTTACATCAGCTCTGTGTTCAAAGAGCCGAGCATTGAAACAAAAAAAGAACACGTCAATCAAACATTGGGGAGGCTCGGTTCTCTTCTGGTCCTGCTTTGCAGCTTCTGACACAGGGGACTTGAATGTGTGCGAGGTAGAATGAAATCTCATTTTGAAGTCATTTCAGTGACGTTTATAGGTTCTTTCTTTCTTTAACAACAGGTTTGAAACTGATTTGACTGAGCCTTACATTGAGTCCAAGTTTGTAATGAAACATGTTTTTTTTCCTGTTCACATTTGATGGAGTGATGCTGTTTCCTGTCCACAGCATGTGGTCGTGGCTTCTACAAGTCTTCCTCCCAAGACCTCCAGTGCTCCCGCTGTCCTGCACACAGCTTCAATGACCGAGAGGGCTCGTGGCGCTGCGACTGTGAGGACGGCTACTACCAAGCACTCTCTGACCCACCATCTGTGGCCTGCACAAGTAAGTCTGCCGAGCTGTCGCTGGATTCAAAACAGCTGCTACATATGTGAGGGACAAAACGTGTCCCTCCAGAGTTGTGGTCTAGACCAGTTATGTAAGTCGGTCTGCAGCAGACACCTCAAAGTCTCCCAACATGTCACTTGAAGCATTTTTAGGCTTCTGTTGTATTTTTATCCATCCATCCCATCCATTCATCCATCCAGTTATCCATCCATCCAGTCATCCATCCATCCGTTTGGGGACCTATCAGAATCTGTGATAATTGTCCCATTATGCACCGATATAAGAACTAATTTTCACCCCTAAAATGCTGGAACCAGCTATGATTATACAATGTAACCAGTAGAGGGCACATACAGGCTACTTTCAAGTCATGACTGTTCACTTAAGTTTCACTTTCAGCACAGACGAAGCAGGGAGCAATAATGTGTGATGCATTTTCAAGGTCAAGGTCAAGGTGTCTTTATTGTCATTCACACCACATGTGGTACAGAAAAGAACAGTAAAGAAAAACAGTAATAAGATCTAATATATGAACTAAGAAATACACTAAACTAAGAATACACTAAGCAGTAACAGTACAAAACAATATGCCAAAGAGCAGCAGCATGAACATGAGTCTGTGTGAGCAGATGAGGACGAAAGAACACACCAACTTGAAATAAATCAGCAGCATGAGATCAGCATCATGGATAGTCAGCAGCACATAACAAGAATCAAGCAGCATTACAGTGATTTTTTCCCACAGTTATTTTCACAGTGATAATCCTGACTAGGGATTCTTGAGTCTAGCAGCCTCATGGTAGAAGCTGCTCCTCAGTCTAGTGGTTCTGCACTTAAAAGCTCCTTAATTTTGCTGAATATGATAAGTTTATTGTAACTGATCTGGGAAACAAATCAACAATAATAAATTCTCTTCAATTCTCCAACCCACTTGTCATTAGCTACGAGTCTCTCCAGTTAGCAAGCTAACATTTAAATAATCTAGCATAGGCTATTGCCTTTAAAACTTTATCCAGAACAATAACTCTAACATAGAGGTAAATATATATCAGTGTTAGTAACGTTATCTTTGTCGTCCTCAATGAAATACATTGATTGTCTGAAATCTTTACTTCTCTACAAAGAAAAATAAACTCTGCTGCGGTCAATACTAATTAGACCTTCACCATATGTGACTGACTGTCTATACAATGATCATTTCTTTGTTTTTCTTTATATTTATGTAACACACTTGATAAGTTTATGGTGAATAGTGGAGGATAGAAAATGTGAACGCATGTTAGGAAGACTGTTTTCATGATCAGTGCTCCACTTGTAAACTACTGTGCGACTACGTATAGTGTGGATCTGATTAGCTTAGCTTCATAGTTGCTAACAGTCGTGCTAAATAAACAAGTTCCACTCACGGTTTTCTTGGATTGTTGGTGGTGGACAAAGCTCAAACATTTTCAGCTATTATATGTGTTATCTGTGGCCCCCCCCCCCCATCCCCACCCCCAACATCATTATCAGAGCTAGCCAAATTGTCCATATCGATCGGGCTCTACAAATAAATATTAAAATTATTTTATTATTTATTTTAAATTGTGACCCTTATAATTATGATTTCTCACAAATTATAATAAACTTACAAATGTGTGCATACTCTACAGTTTGGCTTCTTATATTCCTGTCAAAGGCAGATGTTTTATGGTATAGGCTCTGTCCGTCCATAAACTTTCTCTTGTCCCGCACATAAATTCTGATTAGCTCAGGATAATTTAATGAAACTTATGCACATATGCATCACCACTAGACAGAGTGTTGACTACAGTGCATGGCTCATTATCACAGCTTCAAGGTCAAGGTCAAAAATAAAGGTCAAAATTGAAACAAGGCTTTTGCTTGTCAGATTGCTGAAAAACAGTTTGTCTAATGTTCATTCATCCTTTATTCAGACAGGTAAATCTCATTGTAACATAGTTTGCTGTAGCATTTGTAAAGATTGCAGTAGAAATGGGTGTTTTGCTCAATCCTGGTCCATAGAACAGTTCTGTAATGTCATTGTTTATGCAGGAAGGAGAGGGTGGAAGTCATATGCTTTCACACGTATTTACGTGATGTGTTGTTTCCTTCCAGCCCCCCAGCAGTTCATTAGGCCTGTGGGTCAGTAGCAGGACCCTTTTAGCACTCTGCTTTATCTCTGTGGGCAAACAAGACTCCTAAATGAAACATTTGCACCATGTATCAGAGGGCACATGGATCAACCCCCAGGCTGGCTACACCCCCCCACCCCCCGTTGATAATTTTCTGATTTACAGCAGCTGAAACAGCTGTGCGTTTTTAGCACACAGCTTTTTTTACTCCTCTTCACACAAAGTAAGCCAAGTCAGAATTCTTAATGTGTGACACACAGAAAAATATATGAGTCAAGAAGTGTTGCACCGGCTTGTCCGTGCACTAAATCACAGAACCAGCATAGAGGATTTAACAGATTGGAGCTTGAAGCTGAAGGGGTGGGGTATATATATATATATATATATATATATATATATATATATAT